TAGCAAATTGAATACAACAGTACCTCAAAAAAATTATACATCACAATCAATTGGGGTTCATTCAAGGGGCACAGGGATGGTTCAACATATGCAAATCAGTGTAATACAACACATTAACAAAAGAAAGGATAAAATCATATGATGTTATCAATAGATGCAGAAAACGCATTTTATAAGATACAAGTCCACTGATTAAAACACTCAATAAAAGAGGAATAGAAGGAAAGTACGTCAACATAATAAAGGTCATATATGATAAACCCTCAATTAATATACTCAATGGTGAAAAACTGAAATCTTTTCTTCTAAGATCAGGAACAAGACAAGGATGTCCACTTTCACCACTCTTATTCAACACTAGAGTCCCGACATCACCTGAGGGGTCCCAGATTGCGAGATGGCTCAGGCCAGGCCACGGAACCCCACCGGTGCATGATCAGGCTGGGGAGGGACCGTGGGAGGGCTCCAGGGCATGTCTGGTCAGTCTCACCCAGTCCCTATCGGCCATCAGGGCTGGGGAGGGACTGTAGGAAGACTCCAGGATGTGTCCGGCCCATCTCACCCAGTCCTGATCGGCCAAACCCCAGCTGCAAGCTAACCTACCGGTTGGAGCGTCTGACCCCTGGTGGTCAGTGTGCATCATAGTGACTGGTCAAATGGTCAGACACTTAGCAGATTAGGCTTTTATTATATAGGATAATGCTGGAAGACTTGCCAGAGCAATAAGGCAAGAGAAAGAAATAAAAGGCATCCAAATGGGGAGGGAAGAAGTCAAACTGTCACTTTTTGCAGACAACATGATTCTGTATATAGAAAACTCTAAAGACTCCACCAAAAAAAAAAACAACTATTAGAAACAATAAACAAATACAGTCAAGTTTCAGGATACAAAATCAATGTGCAAAAATCCATTGCTTTCCTATATACTAACAACAAAACTTCAGAAAAATAAGTGAAAAAAATTCCTTTTGCAATTGCAACCAAAAGAATAAAATACCTAGGAATAAACTTAACAAAGAACATGAAAGACATATATACTGAAAATTACAAAGCATTATTAAAAGAGATTGAAAAAGACAACAAAATGGAAAAATATCCTGTGTCCACAGATTGGAAGAATCAACATAATTAAAATGGCCATATTACCCAAAGCAATATACAGATTTAATGCAATCCCCATCAAAATCCCAATGTTATTTTTTAAAGAAGTAGAACAAGAAATCATCATATTTGTATGAAATCACAAAGACCCTGAATAGCCAAAGCAATCCTGACAAAAAAGAACGAAGCTGGTGGTATCATGCTACCTGACTTCATATTATACTACAAGAGCTACAATAACCAAAACACATGCTTTTGGCAGAGGGAGAGACACACAGAACAATGGAACAGAATAGAGAGCCCAGCTATAAAACCACATGTATATGGACAGATATTTTTGACAAAGAAGCCAGAAACACACAATGGAGTAAAGATAGTTTCTTCAATAAATGGTGCTGGGAAAACTGGAAAGCCACATGCAAACAAATGAAACTGGATTACAGTTTATCCCCATGTACAAAAACTAATTCAAAATGGATAGAAGACCCAAAGGTAAGACTAGAAACAATAACTTACATAGAAGAAAATATAGGTACCAAACTTATGGACTTTCATAGTAGAGAACATTTTATGAACTTGATCCCAAAGGCAAGGCAAGTAAAGGCAAAAATAAATGAGTGGGACTATATCAAACTAAAAGGCTTCTTTGTAAGCACAGCAAAAGAAACTGACAACAGAACAAAGAGGCAGCCAACCAGATGGGGGATGATATTTGCAAACAGTAGCTCCTACAAAGGTTTAAGTTCCTAAATATATAAAGAACTCATAAATCTCAACACCAAACAAACAAACAACCCAATCAAAAAGTGGGCAGAGGACCTAAAAATACACCTCTCCCAAGAAGACATGTGAACAGCCAGTAGATATGTGAAAAAATGTTCAACCTCACTGGCAATTACAGAAATGCAAATCAAATCTACAATGAGATACCACCTCACACCTGTTAAGGTGGCCATTTTCAACAAGACAAAAAATAACAAATGTTAGAGAGGTTGTGGGAAAAAAGGAATAATAAGGCATGAGCGCTTAAGGACAAAAAAAATGTTTTGCTAACACCTTTGTGAAGAATATGATAGAAAGTCAATAAGAATTAGTTTTATTGAGTGCCTAGCTAGAAAACCATAAATTTTTAGCATATCCAATAAACATGGTTTCATAAATTTTCCAAACAATGTTTATGTAGCTCAAGGGAAAAAGTGAAAAACAGCAGACAATGAAAATAATAAGGCTAAATGGAAACAGTAAAATACAATCAATTGTATGATTTTTTTCACCTATCTGCCCTAGTACACAGGAGAGTAATCCTTACATATGGAGGGTAACAAATCAATGTCAGGTAAGCTTAAGAAAGGAAGAATAAAAGAAAAAAAGGAAAGAATGAAATGGAGACATAACATTAACAGTAATTAACAAGAGTACTTTGAATATATTCAAAATAACCTTTGGCTTCAACACCAATCTGGCCTTAGGTGACATAATCACACACCAAGCATGCACTATTAGGACTTGCCTCATTTCCAGCTCTCCTCTTTTCCCCCTCCTCACTACTAACTGCATTTGACCTCCCAATTATAGGCCTAGGACTATACTAGGCTCTAGGACAGTGATGGCGAACCTTTTGAGCTCAGCGTGTCAGCATTTTGAAAAACCCTAACTTAACTCTGGTGCTGTGTCACATATAGAAATTTTTTTGATATTTGCAACCATAGTAAAACAAAGATTTATATTCTTGATATTTATTTTATATATTTAAATGCCATTTAACAAGGAAAAATCAACCAAAAAAATGAGTTCGCGTGTCACCTCTGACACGCGTGTCATAGGTTCGCCATCACTGCTCTAGGACCACACCTGACATTAGTTAAAGGAGATTTAAGAAGCAGTGCTTTAATTCTTGGAAGACTGTATCTAGTTCTTCTGGTAATTCATCCCAGTCTGATCTCCACTCTTAAAAATAGCTTCATATTCCAGTTTGGAGCTCTACCTTCTCTTTCTTCACTATTTACACATACCCCCAATGCTCCAAACATTTCAATCCAGCCTCGGAGTCCAAATTTCTATGGTTGAAGACCTGTTCCCTGATGATATGCTTGTGTGATAACAACTACCTGTGTTTCTAACTTATGAAATATTTCCAGTACTTAAGACTTTCTCATTGCCATGATCTGCTCATCTGTGCATTAGGATACCCTGATGCCAGATACTTAGCTGAATTGAAGGCAACTATGTCTTATTCATCTCTGTAAACTCAAAGTCTAGCACAGTGCCTCATACTATATTCTTTGTATTTTGATAATCTGATTAGACATCCTTCCTTGGCCTGCAGAAGATGCATCCATCCCCACAACTGGCACGTCTAGCTCCAGGTCCAGGTCTTTCCCAATCTGCCAGGTCAACATAAATCATGGAAGTTACAAAGCTCTAAGTCAGCGGTTCTCAACCTGTGGGTCGAGACCCCTTTGGCAGTCGAACGACCCTTTCACAGGGGTCACCTAAGACCATCCTGCATATCAGATATTTACATTACGATTCATAACAGTAGCAACATTACAGTTATGAAGTAGCAACGAAAATAATTTTATGGTTGGGTCACAACATGAGGAACTGTATTTAAAGGGCCAGAAGGTTGAGAACCACTGCTCTAAGTAATCAGTAGACAAATATATTTCTGAAATAGTTAATGATATCCTGTAACAAAATATGTATGATAATCTTTTAAGGTCTTTAAGTAAACAGTAGTCAACGAACTTTTTTAAAAATATGTTTTTACTGACTTCAAAGAGAGGAAGAGAGAGGGAGAGAGAAACATCAATGATGAGAGAGAATCATTGATCAGCTGCCTCCTGCATGTGCCCTACTGGGGATTGAGCTCACAACACAGACATGTGCCCTGACTGGGAATCAAACTGTGACCTCCTGGTTCATAGGTCAATGCTGAACCACTGAGCAACACCGGTCAGACAGTAGTCAACTATCTTTATGAAACACTTAAATGCTAGCCTGTGCAGAACTATGATGAATTAAGTTAAATTTCTACTTCTCTTCCAGGACTATGAATTTGTAACATATAATCTAAATGGCATATATTCTTTTGAAAGAAAATCTGAAGTATTTAGTCAAATAAACAACCCTTAAAGTAAAAAAATCTTCAAAGAAAATATCTATAATTACAACCCTTAATCACATATTTTCTCCTAAACTTGTCATTAAACTTGAAAAGCAACAAAAAACCATCATAGGTAATCTGGGTACACACTTATCCTTCTTATTTGTCCTTCCTTTTCTTTGTCTTTTCACGAGCCAATACCACACCCCATATGTACATGTTATATGACATCAAAAGAAAGAAATGTCCCAAACTGCTTTGAGAAGTATGAATAGTTCTATCCTCCAATACGTTTTTATTTTTTACCTTTTAGGATTTTGTCTTGATAAAAAATATATATTTCTGAACATTTTCCAGGGTAGATGGAAAGGCAAGAGATAACCCAGAAAGTGAAAAATGACCATTTCATTCAAGTATTTGTTCTTACTCAATCCTTGTCAAAAAAATATGTACCTTAAAATTTAGTCTGCCTCAAAGGAAAATATTGCAGATGGTTAGTAGCAGATAACTTTGTTCAGGAGTTCTAATGATATATTACCTTTCAGAACAGAGTGCACAAACTAAAGAGTAAGTAATAGAATTAATAGTCTCCCAAATTCTCTCTCTTTTGGGGAATTTATTAATTATTGTGGAGTGTAAAAGTCAGGAAACTATCAATTTGGCTTTGTCCTGTATGATGGAACTCTTAGATATCCTGACCTAAACAGACAAGAAATCACACCACTGTATCTATTTCTCTATTATTGAGCATGACAACATTTGCTGCCTTTGAAAAACAGATGAATCACAAGACCTTATCAAGTTGTTTCAAATGCAGATAACAGGAAGCCATGTTCCTCTTCAGCTTGGGGAATTCCATATCCATTTGATCAGATTCATAAATTCTCAGAGAATAACAATACCAGTGTAGGGCATCATCGTAATTGTGCATCTAAAGTTTAAAAAGAAATAACAAAATTACATGGCTATCTCTACATATGACTCTAATTTTTCCAAGTCACCTCTAGAAACAAACAGAAAAATAATACTGGTTTTTTAGGCAACCAAAACACAATACTCCCTCTATTTGAGTTCTAAAATAATCAGTATAAGTTACAGATAAATTGGCAATCAATATTCTCTCTTCTTCCCTCACATTAGACATCTCACAGAAACAATCAATGAAATAAAGGATAATCTATGGAATGGGAGAAAATATTTTCAAACCACATATTCAATAGGGGGGGTTAATATTCAAAATATACACAGAACTCCTACAACACAATAGCAAAAAAAAATTTAATGGGCAGAGGATCTGAATAGACATTTTTCTAAAGACAACTTACAAATGGCCAACAGGTACATGAAAAGGTACTCAACATTAATAATAACCAAAGAAACACAAATCAAAACCAGAATAAGATATCACCTCATACCTGTTAAAATAGCTATCATCAAAAAGATAAAAGATAACAAATGCTAGTGAGGATGTGGAGAAAATGGAAACTTTATACACTGTTAGTGGGAATGTAAACTGGTACGACCACTTATGGAAAACAGTATGGAGGTTTCTCAATAAGTTAAAAATTGAACTGCCATGTGATCCAGCAATCCCACTTCTGGGTATACAGCCAAAGGAAATGAAATCATTATCTCAAAGAGATATTTGTATTGCCGTGTTCATTGCAGCATTATTCACAATAGCCAATGTATTGAAACAACCAAGGTATTTGTTTACTAATGAATATATAAAGAAAATACAGTATATGTATTCAATGGAGTATTATTCAGCTATAAAAAAAGAGAGAAATCCTGCCATTTGCGATAACGTGAATGAACCGGGAGGATATAATGCTGAGTGAAATAAGCCAGAAAAATATAAACAGTGTATGGTATCACTTATGTGTGGAATCGAACTTATGGTAATGAAGAATAGACTAGAGGTTACAAGGCATTGGGGGATGGAGAAAATGGGGAGAGGTCTGTTAAAGGGTACAAACTTTCAGTTCTAAACTGAAAAAGGTTCTGAAAATCTAATGTATAACATGGTGACTACAGTTCATAATACTGAATTGTATGATTGAATTTTACTAAGAGAGTAGACCTGAAGTGATCTCACAAAAAAAGTTAAATATGTGTTCATTAAATCAATTGTTAGAACTTTTACGATGTACATGTATATCAAATAAAGTTATTACATTGTACACTTTAATTATAACTGTCAAGAAATTTAAAAAAATTCACACATGGGTTGAAGAGCCTAAGATGGTGGTGAACCATGCTAGAAAACTCTAAATAAAATTTAAAAGTTGTTAAAACAACGATAAATTTTTTTTCAAGAGAACAACCATAATTCACTATGCTAACACAGCTATTTTCTTTTTCTACATTCCATTTTAACTTTATCCTTTTGTATTCTTATATAGTTGTAATCATAGTGTATATTATAACTTCATGTTATATTCTTTCCATTTAGATTTGTTTTGTAAATATTAATCTATATTGCTATTTAGTATTCACAGTTATCAATTTAAGGAATACAAAACATTCAATTAAATTTTAATGTTTGCTATTTAATTTCTAGGTTATTCACTATTATAATTAAATAACAAGCTAATGGGAAAAAACTTACAGAAATAACCTGGATGACTTTTTTAAGCTAAGAAAATTCAGGTTGCTCATGCACACCAAAGTAAGGTATAAATGAGTCCCTTGTACCCTATCAAGAAGCTTCAGGTTTTTCAAGGAATAACAGGAGTCACTAGGACCTAAAAGGAATAAGACACACTCTTCAACTAGAAATAACTGTGCTGAGCAAGTACAACACTACCTTTGACTATCTTATCTAATAAAGAGGGAATATGCTAATTGAACTTCATGCTGTCACAAAGATGGCGGCACCCACAGACAATAAGGAGAGAATATGCTAATTGACTGCCCTGCCCTCAAAGATGGCAGCACCCACAGCCAATAAGGAGGGAATATGCTAATTGATGGCCACACCCTCAAAGATGGTGGTACCCATAGTCAATAAGGAGGGAATATGCTAATTGGCTGCCATGCCCTCAAAGATGGCAGTGCCCACAGCCACAAGATGGCAGTGCCCAGTCCCCTCAGTCCCTCCGGGGCGGCAGGTGCACGGCAAGGCTCCGCGCACCTGCCTCTGGAGACCCCCAGTCCCCTTAGCCCCCCAGCCACCCAGAGTCGGCCCGAGGCGCAGGCAAGCCTCAGATGGTGGCTGCCCAGCTGCCCAGGGCTGCCCAAGGCTCAGGTAACCAGGGCTGGCTGAGGCTTGCGCTGCCGGCAGTGGTAGCAGCAGAGGTGTGATGGGGTGTTGCCTTCCCCTGGTTACCGGGTCGCCTCCCATCCCTGAGGGCTCCCAGACTGTGAGAGGGGGCAGGCCAGGCTGAGGGACCCTCCCTCCAGTGCACGAATTTTCATGTACTGGGCCTCTAGTTTAGAATTAAGATTATATTCTTCTCCAGTTGATGGAAGTGGGAGTTTAAAAAATTATTCTGTAAGACTGGAAAATGAGGAAAAAGAAAAAGACTCAATAGGAGAAGGAATTCTGAAGTACTTTTTCTTCAACTCAGTAAAGACATACAGGCCCTCTAAAAAAACCCAATAATACTATTCTATTTGCAGTAGCTAAACTTAAGGTATAAAGCAAGACATTTTGATATACACTGTGAAATGTTCACCACAATCAAGCTAATTGACATATACATCATTTCACCTAGTTACCCTTTTTTTGTGGTGAGAACACTTAAGATTTACTCTCTTAGCATATTTCAATTATATAATACATTATTATAACTACAGACACCATACATTGTATTAGGTCTCTATAACTTTTTCACTGAATAAGTTAAAGTTTGTATTACTGGACCAACATATCCCCAATTTCCCCAAGCACCAAACCCTGGTAACCACCATTCTACTTTGTTTCTATGAATTCGACTTTTTAAAATTCCACATATACCCCTGAGCAGTGTGCTCAGTGGTTAGAGCATTGGCCAATGCACTGAAGGGTCAAGGGTTCGATTCTCACTCAAGGACACATACCTGGGAGGCTGGTTCAATCACTGGCCCAGTTGGGGGCATTCGGGAAACAACCGATCTCTCTCTCTCTCTCTCTCTCTCTCTCTCTCTCCCTTCCCCCTTCCACTCTCTCTAAAAGTCAATGGAATAAATATCCTCAGGTGAGGATTAACAAAAAAAATAACAAAATAAATTTAATTCCACATATACCATATCATATAATATTTGTCTTTCTTTGTCTGGCTTATTTCACTTAGCATAATGTCTTCCAGGTTCATCTATGTTGTCACAAATGGTAGGTTTTCTTGTAGATCATTTTGGGTAGTATGGTCATTTTAACAATATTAATTTTTCCAATCCATTAACATGGGATCTTTCCACTTTTTGTGCCTTCTTCAACTTCTCTCATCAATTTCTTATAGTTTTCAATGTACAGATGTTTCATCTTCTTGGTTAAATATATTTCAAAATATTTAATTGTTTTAGATACTATTATAAATGGGATTGTTTACTTAGTTTCTTTTTTGGATAATTTACTGTTAGAGTATAGAAACAAAATTGATTTTTGTATGTTGATTTTGTATCATGTAACTTTACTAATTTGTACATCTGTTGTAACAGGGTGTTTTTTTGGTGCAATCTTAAGGTTTTCTATATATATGATTATGTCATCTGCAAATAGAGACAATTCTACTTCTTCCTTTCCAATTTGGATGCCTAATTGCTCTAGTTAGAATGTTTAGTACTTAGTTGAATAGAGTGGTGAGGATAAGCACGCTTGTCTGGTTCCATGATGTTAGCTATGGGCTTGTCATATATGACCTTTATTTTGTTGAGGTACATTAATTTTACACCTAATTTATTGAAAGTTTTCATCATGAAAGAATGTTGTATTTTGTTAAATGTTTTTTTCTTGCCCTAACCGGTTTGGCTCAGTGGATAGAGCATCGGCCTGCGGACTCAAGGTTCCCAAGTTCGATTCCGGTCAAGGGCATGTATGTTGGTTGCAGGCACATCCCCAGTAGGGGGTGTGCAGGAGGCAGCTGATTGATGTTTCTCTCTTATCGATGTTTCTAACTCTCTATCCCTCTCCCTTCCTCTCTGTGAAAAATCAATAAAATATACTTTTTAAAAAATGTTTTCTTCACCTATAGAGATGACTATATTTTTAATCCTCCATTCTGTCAGATGTGATGTATCTTATTTATTGATTTGCATAAGTCGTACCATCCTTGCATTCCAGGGACAAATCCTACTTGACTGTTGTATGAACTTTTTAATGTGCTGTTGAATTCAGTTCGCTAGTATTTTGGTGAGGAGGTGTATTAACCGGAAGTGTACCAGTTAATAATGCAGATTGTGTAATCAAAGAAAACACGATAATTTCAAGAGAAACATCAAAAGTGCTTTATCCAAAGTAATGTCCATTGCTAGCTACACATTTCCCCCATCTTTCAGGTAATTTGTGGATACTGTCCCAATAGAACTTTTCTTGTTTTGAGGCAAACCATTCAGAAACCCAATTTTCCACTTCTTTGTATGTTTTGAAGTACTACTCAGAAAGTGCATGTGCCATCAATCAGAACAAGTGGTAATCTGAAGGAGCAAGGTCTGGGGAATACAATACAGTGGGGGGGTTAATACTTCCTAGGCAAGATCTTTTAACGTGTCTTTAACTGGTTTTGAAGTGTGTGGTGGTGCGGTTATGAAGCAAAATTATTTTGCCATGTCTTCTGGCACATTCTGGTCACTTCACGATCAAAGCATGGTTCAAATTGATTATTTGTTGTCGGTAGCGATCATTATTAACAGTTCCATCTGGTTTTAGAAGCTCATAATACACCACACCTTCCTGATCCCACCAAACACAGAGCACTGTTTTCTTTCTGAAGTGATTTGGCCTTGCAATCA